AAGCGCAGCCTGTCATGCGAACTGTGTTCTGATTGCACCAGGAGGTGCAGCGTTTCCTGTGCAGACTATGACGCAGGTGTGTACGCAATAAGAAGGATGCAACGTCATTTCTCTGGCTGTGGTCATATACTGAATTCATTTTCAGAAACAGTTTTCCTTGGGAAGGTGGAATAGTTGGGGCACAGTACTAATTGCAAAGCGTTACCTGTCACAGCAAAGCTACTGATGGCTGACGCATGGTGCTTCAAGAAGTCCAGATAACAGAAAAAACACATCCTTAGTGTTTTCATATTAAGTATAACATTTGAATATTACAATAAACAGTGCTGCTGGGGCAGTAGGAACCTTATAAACAGTTCAAAAATTACACAGCAGAAATAAATTTGACTTTCAGTGGTGACTCAGCTGAGTTTAACTGGGTGTGCTATGGCTGTGTCTAAAGATCTTAGAGCAGGACAGGAAATCTGCTTGCTACCATTACTTTTATTTAGTATATTATAATTTAGTATATAAATTATAAATTATTTATAATAATAATAATTTACTATTATTATTTTAGAATAAATAATACTTATTTATTCAAGAAAACTCAAAATTTCATGCCTATAAATAGAAATTCCCTTCTCTGTGTAGAAATTAAAAATGTTCTGCATCAATTTCTGATGACTTAACATGAAAAATACATTCTCTTTACATGCCTCAAAGGAAAATTTTAAGAGCAAAAGAATGACTCATTGAGATAGTACTAAGCTCTTCTCCCTCACTATATTTTCTATCAAATTTCCAGGAGGCAGTTTATTTACAGTAGGCACTGAGATCATAATCCAGGATGAAAATAATAATTCCATTGCACTGCTTATTAGAGTTGCAGACAGTAGGACAATCAAGATATGTACTTTGAATCAAGATTTCAGCATTCTCTAACCCTTACAGCTGCAGCAGGTTATTTTATCTATGTGTATATATAAACTTACACTAGATGCAATATGAATACACAAATAAATGTAAAAAAACTTATAAACTAGGTCCAGTCTTTCAAAAGAAACAAATACAATG